CTTTGCAAAAGTTGAGCACTCAAGGGTATGCTTTTTAGATCAGATATGTTAGTCTGTGTGTCAGTGAAGGGCTCTACTGAATTGGGGCCAGTGTATCTCTGCTTTCCAGGCCAGACATGGCAGCTGCCACAGGATGCAGTATCTTGCTTTGTGTGACTTTAATGGGAGACTAATCTAGCATGTTTTCTCCTGCAAAATCAGCCTAATATGGTCAGACATCCATAGTTGCACAAAAATAAATCAATTCTGCTTGGGACAGTACTGGAACTGCAGTGTTAAAAGGGTTATGAACCAAAATTCCTGTCTTTGCCATTCTTAATGTTATAGCTTTGATGCAATTGAGTTGTTGCAAAATTATAAATGATATAAAGAGAGAGTAGGCATAGCTCTGCACTTGTGGCAAAGATATCACCCAGCACAAGTCTCAGTACTGAAACTCTCATGGAGTGTGAAAGGAACAATTAAACACTGAGTGCACCTAGAAAGAGATCCCCCTGAGGAGGGAAAAGCACTTGGGGAGAGGACCGCATTGACAGCTCTGGAAGTTAGAGCCCTTCCCTTGTTACCAGAACAGCTACAGAATTGTGTCAAGCTGTCAAACACTTCTGAAATAAGCATGCTGGGAGTTAATATTAGACACTCTGCTTAGAAAATTGGTAGAGATTGATAAAGAGCAGATAAGAAGAGAGGGCTTCTTCTTTTGGGTCACCCATTCTACCTTGCCTTGACATGTTTTTGGAGTGCAAAAATAAGTCAGTCTCCTCTCTGACAATACCACCAGGAACGCCCATGTGAGGAAGGATATTCTGTTTGAATATCCTTTCTAAGGGCTTCTATGCTATGATTGTCATCTACAGAAATTAGATTGCCAATTTATCAAGGGATAAATCTCTCCTCTGCTAATGTGAGTCTTATCTGAACTACAGGCAGTGTATTTAATGGTATATCTCTCAAGAGCTGATGTCTATAATTCAGGCTAAGTGGGCTCTAAAATATTATCATATGTAAGTTATCCTTTAATGGAATAGTAGCAGTTCTAGCCTGCCTGAGGTTTATTGTAAGTATACAGTCAGTTAATAGGGGCACTCACAGATAATCTGTAATTGTTATGGGAAAACATGATATTCTCCTGGAGCCATCTTTTTCTCTCAGTTCACCACAAGCTGCAATGCACGCTTAAGAAATACTATGTAGTGCTAATTTCTGTGATCCGTTCTGCTCTGGAGATCCTTAGGATACAGACATATTAAGAGCCTTTACGAACAAGATTTCTCTTTGCGCTTGGGTTAAAATGTGTGCAACAGCTTCAAGTCTGTTTTCCCTTCAGTGTTCCAAAAGTGGTGTTACTGATGCTCATATGTGGCATAACTGGTAATGGTGCATGTTTTGGATTTAGCTTTTTAGCCAAGTGGCTCATGGAAGGAAATAAGTCTTTCCGGTTTTTTGGGAGGGTAGTTCTTTTGTTTAGTTTTGTTTTTGTTGAGAGAGAGAGAGGAAGATTTATCAGTAAATCTTGCTGGACATGGCCTAAACTAAATGTAGGAAACAAAGAAGAGGTTAATATGCAAGGATTAAATGCCATGGGTGCTGTGGAATACTCTAGGTGGTTTGAAATGTTAATTTGGGCAAGTTTAGATTGAGCCGGCAGTGTTGTGAATGTGCCATGAAACTGACCGTAGAATATGGATGCTGCAGGAGAAGATGGGTTATCCAAGCAATGTTCAAGCAAGCAGTGACTTGTCAGCTTGAAGGTGCTCTATAAAGCATTGTACCTAATGATTTTTGGCAACCATCCACAATGCAACATAGTGTTTCAGAGCATCTGGCAGGATATCCCAGGGAAAATGGGAGAGACTTGTTTCCTGATCCACTGGTGCTGCTTGCACGTGTACAGAAGACAAAGACAACTGATAAATCTGGCTGAAGAATTTTGACTTCTGCGAATATCGTGGACATTCATGCCTAATATAGTTGTGTGTGCACACACTCTAGGCTGATTTGTTTCTTATAGATTTCATAGTTACGCAACTTTTTGTTTGGTTTTACTTATTTCTGTTTTCCTCTCGTTCCTTTCAAACTGAAGTTTACATGTAAATTTAGGTCACTGAGCGTTCTTGCATACCTGGGAAGAATGGGCTTTAACATGGATAGGACATTCCTAGCTGCTATGGATACAGACTGTGTCTATACATGCAGTAGTTATTTTGCAATGTGTTTTGAATTGAAATAACCTAGATATGTCTGACAGGGAGGTACGTGAAGGCTGTTCCAGACTGCAGGAATTCTGCTAACAGAAACCAGTTTTGAGTTTGAACTGCTTCATTCAGTGGTGTTTTTATTTTTAAAGTTTAGTTCTCAGTGAAGCCATCAGTATTGATTCTTCATAGATGATTCTTGTTTCCAGGGCTAGTCCTATGTGTTCTCCTCTACAGCCATGGGCACCTGTGTTGTTTTAATGCCTCTACCTGTGCTGCTTTTTATTTATGGAAATAGCATACAAATATGTAGATATTGTTTATATGCAGTTGTTATAACTTCTGCATGTCTCCTCTTCCTACAAAATAGAGGGTGTGGGCTAACTTCCTCTAGCCCAGTATAAGTTTTGATTAATTTCAGTACTACATACAATTGTTGCTCTGTGGCTGTTCCTCTGCCTTTCCTAATGGCTCTTCTAACAGTATGTCTTCTGAGCATTGTCCGGGTCCTTGAATGAGAGAACTGATTTCCTTTGCTGTAACTTGCTTTTCATTAAAGCACAAAGCTGCTGAAGCAGGTCATTCCTGTGTGTCAGTGTCATACATGTAAGTTCATGATTTAGTCATGTTCCAGATTTGTAGCCTTGACCCAGTTTGAGTGATATCTTCTTTGATAGCCCATTCCTTGTGCCCTGTTACAGCCCTAAAAAAGGAAGGTGGAACTGAAGAACGGGAGGGGTTGTCTCTGCTGTGTCTCAGTTGCTCAGACTTGGGTCACTGGTCTGTTTGGATAAGATGCGCGTGAACCAGTTAATTCCAGTCTTGAGTTCAGGAGACCCTCATGGAAAGGGAAGAGCCCTGGAGTTGGCAGCTGTTGCCTCCCAAGTCCATTCTCTTAACTTCTGGCTTTTGGAGACTAGGTGAAGCTGCAGGTCATCAGTCCTGCCAGTGACTTTTGTCATACTGAGACATTCCAGAGTTAGGTATTGTCTCTTTTTCCTCTTGCTTCTTGCTGAGTGTTTGTTCTTGGCCCTCCGTGGTGGTGAAGTATGCACTTCAGTTTCATGTTACAGGTTACAGTATTTTCTTTGCTCGGTTGAATAAAGAGATATAATGTGTGAAGAGGGTCCAGATGGACCCGAGGAAGGGACACAAAGCTGAATGCAGCAAGTGTGCTTTACAGGGAGGATGGCTGTCATGGAAGCTGCAGAAGTAGGTTAGTATGCTTGCTTGGGTCTTAAAACAAAAAGGCCAGAATTAGGAACTTCACCCCTCTGCCTGGTATTTGGGGAGGGAAAGGGGAACAGGACAGGGCATGGTGATATACCCTCGTGTAAGCTCAGAAAAATACAAGTTAGGTCTTGGATCCATCCAGATATTTGTTCTGCATGTCTTTGCGTAGGATGTGCTGTCTTGCTCCAGCTGTGACTGTGTTGCTGATGACTGTAGCAGGAGAGGAGGTGCTTGTGGCAGAACAGAACATCTTTCTTTGAGAGTGCTCTTTTTTAGATGTTAGATGTGCTCATTAGAGGGCAGCAGAATAACTCTTGCTTTTTTTCTAGGTCACTTCCATATTTTTGAATGATATTCTTCTGCTCTACAGGACACAAACAATTTTTTCTAGTTCCTCCTTCAATTTTTCGTGGTGCATTAAGTGTATAAAACAGCAATGTTCATATAAAAACTTCATCCAATATAAATGAGCATAGAGCAATAACAGTAAAAACTTGCTTCTTGGAAGCTTGTAAGTGTTGCAAACTCAAAGGAAGCGCAGCTTCTTCAGGATTAAACCAGAAACGGCTAGCACCATATGTGAAAAAGCATCCAAAGGAATGTTTCACAGCTAACTTGTTTTTTCACACAGCCTAATTCTTCTTTGACCTATATGTCCATATGCATCTATTGATTGTGTGCTGTACCCCAGCTGCTGCTGCCGCCTTTTTCTGCTTGAAGAAAATATTAAAGAACCAGATTCCTTTTATATCTAAAAATAATCTTTAAATGAGATCTGATAGTGCCTCCTCTCCCTCATCTCTGTAATATAAATACTATAAATAATTATGGCATAGTCTTTAAAGGCTAAGTGAGGCTTGGATTTGGAGCCTAACATCACAATACTTAAATGCATTATTTATTATGTAACGTTCATAGAAGAAGGCTGTAGTGCTGTTTGGCTTTGCAGCTAGTGTATTTCTGGCTTCAGAAAAAGCTGTGCAGAAATCCTGGCTAGGAGAGAGTATCTCCAGTGCACGTTTTGTTTGTTAGCAATATTTTGCACACTGACCTCTCCAGGGGAATGTAAGTTGGTCCGAGGCAGCTGGAATAGCAGGAAAACTGGCTATTTCGGTTTTAGCAGCATCAGCCATTGATTTTCAACAGATGGCTCTGATTTTGCAAAGTCCTCACTGGAAACAAACTTCATTAGCAAGGAGAGAACGAGTATTTCAAAAGATGTACAAATGGATCTTGTATATTGAGAACCTTTGCAGAATTTTCCTTCCTTTTTCTGAAACTCCTTGACCTAGAATGGTAGAGCATGGCTGAGGGTTGGCTGTGGGGCAGGAAAGGTTGTCTTTCTCCCGAAGTGTGTTGGGTGTTTTCACGTTACCTCTTGCATGTTTTCAGTCCCTCCCTCTCCCCCACCCTAGAGGCGTTTTGCCAAATGCTCTGCTGTAGTTTGAGCTGCAGGTTCCTCAGGATTTAGTAAGTGCTGTGTGTTCCCCACATGGGTTAGGGGACCTCTAGCACAGCAGGGTGTACTTGACTTCTTTGTTCATCCTGTGGTGTGTTTTTTTTTTTTTTTAGGGTGGCAATATCCAAGCCCATGAATGTCAGAAGTGGAACAGCCTTCTTGAGACTGTCAAGCATTTTGCTTCTGGCACAGTGACTTGGATCAGTCCTACCTCCTGAAGATGTCCTGATTCTGCTTTTCACTCTTTCTTTGGGGTCTACTGAGAAGTTGGCATTTCTCATCTCTTAGCTGTGACCTTTTAGCAAAAGGAGAACTAAAAGGAAGTTCCTCATCAGGAAAGGAAAGTGGAACAAAGCCAGACAAGTGTGACATAGCACTTGGCAGCTCTTGGCACATTAGGTAAAAATTAATATTCCTTCAATAGGATAAAAAGATTAAATTCAGTCTAAAACTAAGTGAGGGTATACCACTGATGGGTCTGTATGAGTGCAGCATATGGATCTAAATCCATTTGACTGTTTGGTCCTTATTAGGAAATTAACAGGTACGAGGGTTGTTCTAGCAGTCCTTTTCACCACACAGAAATACTCTTCCTGCCAGCATTTTCAGTGCAATAGGGAAAGGTCTTCTGCTGGTCTGTTTTTTCAAACAGAAGAGTTTCTCTTCTGAGAACTAATCAGATATTTTTGGGGGAATGGTGGAGTTCTCAGTACGTATACTTTAGGCATGGTGAGACTAAATATTTCAAGACCATCATTTGGGAAAGGGTGTGTAGCGTGGTGGTGTTTCAAGGAACGCTTTCTTTTTGGGAACAATCGCAGGTGATGAATTCTTAATTGGTGATTGGAGTCTGTCTGGTCCCCGAATGCTTTATAAGGGACATAATTACCCTGTTAGGGTGAGGTATACTGACTCGCAGAGAAGCGAGGTAATTTCCTGAAGCTTCTGTAGCTTACAGATCTCGAGGCTCTCTGTTTCGGGACTGTAGTCTTAGATCTGTGAAAATTAAGGCAATGTCAAATGTCTGGCAGCTCTGAAAACTGCTGGTGTCAGATAAGCACCTACTATGTTTCTTTTTTCCCCCCCCCCCCCCCCCACTTTCTTTTAATAACAAGGGTGTTCTTGCAACAGTTTTTCTCTGGCAGCTGCTGATTTTGGTGTGCGGGGTAGATGAAACTGTGGTGAGAGCACCCCTTCCTGCTAATGCAGATGTGTTTTAAATGCTGTGCAGTAGTGCATGCCACTTGCTGAAGCGCGTTACTGTCTGTGTGTACTGCTGGGAGAGGAGCAGAGAGCTTGATGTATGAAGTGGTGGAGCCCTTTTTTAAATTTCCTTCCTTTAAAATAGATCCTAGTGTGAGAACATCATTCCAGAATGGGTGACTGATCCTGTCTTGCAAACTTCAAGATAAGGGAAAGGGAGCAGGTGATGGTGTGGAGAAAAAATAGCCTCTGCCTCTCCTAGAGGGGATCAGATTTTTCTTTTGAAAACTTCATTTCCATTTAAGTGAGCCAAATAGAGCAAGCCACTCAGCTCAAATATGCCTAATTTAAGACTTATTTGAAAAAAGGAAATGGTCTTATGTGAGAATCATTATGGGAAAGATGAAGATTCCCCGTCAGGGTCATAAAGTCCAGCTTTTGGCAGGAGATGAAGAATTCTGTAAGAGTTCTGTAATGATGTCATGATCACAGGAGCTTGTCTAAGGGCTTGGTAAAGCTGCAGGACAATGCCCATGTTTTTCTTGGAGCCAGGCAGAAGAGAGAAGTGTGAGGAGGGGAATAAAGAGCTGCCCAGAGCGGATGATGTTACGAGACTCCAGTGTGTTACGTAAGATGGCGGAGGCAAGCGATCGTATTAGTACCTCGGGGCATTTGGGAACTCTGAATTGTTTCTTGAAGCAGAAGAGCAGTTGAGACAGAACAAAAACAGCAGCCGCCAGAGATGGCAGCAGCTGGAAGAAGCATTAGAGTAGTATTTAGACCAGTTCCACTTACAGGACATCCTGTGTACCAATGAGCAGGGGGAGATGCTTCATGAGAGCTTGGGCATGTCCTGGAATGAGTGTTTTCATAAAATTCCAGTTTAACACACAACACCTTTATCTAGGTAGGCTTGTCAGAGTGTTTATTCAACAGAAAAATAGGTAACTTACTATGTCACTTTTGAATGCTAGAATTAGTTTTTCAAGGTTAAAGGCTCGTTATAGTCACGTGGTCTTAATACAAACACTGGACCACCTTTGTCTGTGCTTTAGGGACATCTGCTTCAGCTTCAGCTGCAATGATTGTGTGCCTGTGTCTGCCAGCAGAAGATTCGCAGATACAGCATGCTCTAACCTGTAATAGATGCTTTGAAACTGGGATCAAGCTGCCTCTTGACCCCATTGCGGACCAGCTGAGTAGCTTGGATTACTTGCTTTTGTACTTCTCCAGGCTATTATGTGTTTAGCTCCTTTCTTTGAATGCTTTCCAGTTTAAGACCTGCTGTAGGTGCTCCAGAAAGAGGGGAGGGGAAGAACAGGCCATGCAGCTCTAGCAATGCAGTGCATCACCAATACTGCAAGTCAGTTCTGTTGCCTGACTGCACATGGGCAAAGCTGAATGATGAATTGGGGACTGGAAGCCAAATAAGTGCCTGTGACAAACAATTTGGGAAGCTTTCCCAGGTATTTTCACCTTCCTTCCTACTTGATATTTATGTCAGTGTTGCAGTCCTCCGTGTGCAGCAGTTTATAAAGCCACTTATAATGCAAGTGGTGTTGGAAGTGTCTGATCAAAATGTGATCAGGATCTAGCTAATGATTCTTAGATTATGTAAATAATGAAAGTCTGCAGGCCATATGCAGGCTGTGTTACGGAGCTCTTTTCCATGTCTGGAGGTTAAAATCATCTGGTATATGTTGACTGAGCATATAGGCAGGTAAAAGAAGCTAATATGGTTAAATCTAAGGTAGAAGATATGGTTGGCCTTTCTATTCCCTTGCTGCTCCCAAACAGTTAGGTGTTTGGGTTTCCTGATGTGCAGGCTCTGACAGCTGCAGATGGCTGGATTAACTCCTTGACGTATGGTTGTGCAATAGATAGGACAATGTGCGGAGGGGGAGAGCAGTACACTAATCTACAGTAAAGACTTAAAAATCAAGGGCAAGCTCTGACATGTGATTACTTTTTTCATTTCCCTGTCAATGCATGGAGAGTTAGTAGTAGGAAAAAAAAGCCAAACACATAATACAGGGAGCCTAAGAACAGACATGTTGAAGAGTCCAAGAAAATCTGCCTGGAGAGTAGAATTAATCAACAGTTAAGATAACTTAGTGGAAACTGCTGTGGTCCTAAGGAGCTCTGAGTAAGGTTCTGAGTAATTACTTCATGAAAATTCTGACCAGAGCAGTAAGGAAGCATTCCTGGAAACTCTGCTCCTGCTTTAATTCCACTGGTGCTTAGACACTGTCTGAGTGCTTGTGGCTGTAAACGTGTAGAAAGTGATGTTGGGGAACAATGAACATCTTTAGCACCGGGAGGGAAAGTCGCACATACTTTGAGCACCTCAAAGGAAAAAGCTATTGGCTAACCTGGAGATATGAACTAATAACAGTGTTTGCAGTCAAATGCAGTCCTTTCTGAGCATTCATATTAATCTGTAGATCAGTTTTTCAGCGTTGATGTTAAAGACACAGAATATGAGCAGTGATTACATGGGTTAGAGCAGTTTTGTCTGGAAGAGATGGCCGTCTGGGAATGGAGGAGTTGATGAAATTTTACAAAATCTTGCTTGTCACAGAGGTGAAGAGAGAGAGACTAGTTCCCAGTCTCTTCCAATGAGATAACCAGGCTAAATCAAGTGAAATTTATAAGAGGCTAGGTTCAGGATGGGCAAAGATCCTTCAGGCAAAGGGCAATTATACTCTAAAACTCCTTGACCATAGGTGTTGCGAATTTCTGTGGGCTTCAAAGCAACTGATCAAATTCCCCAAAAGAAAAATACATTGTGGTACTAAAGGTGCCCTCTCTAAAGGTAGGCATTGAGAGTTGGCCTTGTCAGAAATGTGATATTGACCTACTTGAACCTTTGGTCAGACCTGCTATGTTGTTATCCTAGTGGTACTATTTACAAATGTAAAACTGGACGCCAGGGCTCAAACCAAAGTCCCTGAAGTGCCTTATGCTAAAGCTCAGAGGCTTCTGTGCGCAGCTCCTGCTGATGCTTACTGGAGTAGTGCTTACTCTCTGGATAGAGAGAAAAGGCAAGGGGATGCTGAGCCCACCTCTCCCAATATGCATTCCATTAGGCTAGGCACATCTTTGGTGCCTTTCCCGTTTTGGGGTTTCCATTGCATTTGCATCCCTGGCTTGCAGGTCCAAGTGATGTGCAGTGTCTGCTAATTTGTGCGAACTCTTTAGCCGTGTTTACTGCAGAACTGGGCAATTGGCTTTGTAATGCTATGGAGGGAGCTTTTGCTTTTTGAAACACGTGGACTGCTAGTCTTGAATTATTGTAATATTGATTAGTAATGTCTGATTATGTGAATCTCTGGGGAGCCTTGCAGAGGAGATGTTCAAATAAAAACAGCCAAAAGAATAGAGATGACAAGCATCCTGGAGATGTACAAGAGGGATATTTGAGACTTCTTCAGGTCTCATGTATTCTACTAGTTAGTCTTTGCACACTGCAGTAAACTCTTTGCTGCCATTACAGTTGCACAGCCATGCACTTTACAGCACTGATGCTCTTGCCATGCTGTGAGTTGCAGAGCGACCTGCAAGGACCCTGGATGTTCTCTCTAACCTGCAGTTTTAGCTGTTCTTCTTTGTCTCCTGAAGTTACAGAAATCTACAGTAGAGGATTGGGGGTCATGGGGGGGATCAGGCTCACAACAGCCCTGAAGTGAAACTTGTAATTTTCTAAAAATGTGCATGCAGTAATTCTGTAGTGTGGTTATATTAGCACAAAGCTGCCATTGACTTTAAAAATCTACGATTTCTAGTGCAATTTAGAAACTGAAATGAAAGCATTAATAATCTGATCTTGCACAGTTGCCTTTGATTCAGCTCTATGACGAGCCTGCTGGAATCAAGAAGAGGTCATTTAAAGTACTTTCAGGGGTGGTACAAGTTACGTTTTGGGCTTCTTTCTTCCCTTCTGTCTGTGGTGGTGTTATAGGTGGCTGAAAATCAATCCCTTCTGCAGTCATTATAATGTATTACTTTTCTGTTCTCCTGTGCTTCCTGCTGGGCTTACGATCCATCATGGAATTAGTTCGCAAGGAAGAAAGAACAGGAGAAGTTCATCTACCGAGTGTGATAGGAATTTGCTGGCAGTGCTATCTCAGATGAAGTACAGAAATGTAGAACACTGCTTATCTGTAAGATAGGAAGCAATGCTGCCACTTAG